GATCCGAAAGTGACCCAGGGCACGTCTGGCCACAGAAAATCCTAACATGTGCACTTGGGCTGCGGTAGCCAGGGGGCCTCTCTTACACACACGCATGCACGCACTTGCGCGTACACGCACACAGACACATTCCTGCCCCCTCAGCACAGGAAAGAGCCCTGGAAAGCACTAGAGACCCAGGGGTGAACAGCACTGCCATCACCACCCACCTCTCCTACCAGCATTACATCAGAATTGATTGACCCTTGCACTGAGTTGTGATTCGGAGCTGCAGTATGCAGGGGATTGACAGCCTGGAACTAGTTGTTATTTCAGGTGGTTTTCTCTCTTTCCCTGTCTGTAACTGCAGGCCGATCTCTCTTTCTCTCCATGATGGTTCTGCTTTGTAAAGGAATGACACTGCAGGGTGGATATACTGAATGTTTTATGCACCTGATCCTGTGTAATTAGTACCATAGACCAATGAAGATGAGCAGCCCTGAACAATATAGCTGTACACTTTACTGCTAATCTTACACTACACACTCCAACAGATGGAGGGCACAGGAAGATAGAGAGACAGAGACACATAGTGAGTGAGTGCTCTGATAGGCTCGGTTGGGGGAAACGGGTGGAGAGGATTGTTGGTCCCCAACGAGGCGAGCTAACTGGGGGAAATTAGGTCAGTGTGTTCCCTCTGACTCCACAACAAGAACAGGCTGTGCATGTGTGCGTGCGTGCATGTTTTGCCGGTGCACCTACAGAGCCATGCTGCAACGCTACAGTAACATACTGTGCAGGTCTGTGCGTGTATGTGTGTGTGTGTGTGTGTTTGTGTACACTGCCTGCCACAAGTTGGCATGTGAGTGAATGCGCTACCAAAGGTCGGGGCGGATTCTAATACAGGTGATAATTATTTCCAGCGCAATTTCTTCAGCAGCTTTAATCCAGACATAACAGCAGTGTTTGATAACTAGCTCTAACCTAAATGCTGAAACTGTATTTATTTTGACTCATCACCCAGCTAATTGAAACAGAAAACTAGGATGTAACTAATCATGACATCATAACCAGTAACAAAATAGCTCTGAATATGAAAAAAAAAACAAAAGGTTAAGTGACATTTATCCCCAAATGGCCATACAGTCTTTTGGAGTTAAAGCTTTGGGGACAGATGGAGTCAGTTCTGCAGTCATTTGGCCTCCGGAGGATGTGGATGCTCTACTGTTCTACCTCCCACCCAGCTTTGTCTTTACTCTGTCTCTCTCTTCATGTCTCCTGATCAGGACAAGTCACACATACTATAATTGATATGAGATTTAGGGGGTATATTTCAATGTAATTAGAATCTTGATAATTGGACTAATTAGATCTAATTGCTATGTGAGAATGACTTTGATTAAAACAGGTTTCTCTCCTCAAAACCAGAGTAGGAAAAAAAACAGTTGGGTAACATTGATGAGACACAATACTAAAGCTAATTGACAATAATCATGCATGCAGAAAAATCTAAATCTCTATTAGTAACAACCGTTTTTCAAACATCTGGTAGTTCTTCATTATTAAAGGCCCAGTGTGTAACGTATATGGTTCATCAGTGTATAATCACCTGAAAATAAGAATCATTGTTTCCCAGCCTTTCATCCAGATTCCTGGCTCTAGGGGTGGCCACCATAGTTTCTCCTTTGCAGTTGAAAGGGGAGGGTGAAGCGAGGGAGATGCAATCTGCAATTACACCACTAGATGCCACTAAATCTTACACACTGGTCTTTGTTAAGTATTTGTTAAGATGTCAGTGATTTTTATTTTATGTAAAATATGATGAGGTTTGCAAAGCTTGAAAGCAAGCTAGCAACAGTAACTTATAAAGTAGTGAGGTACTGCTAAAGTACCCTCAAAGGTGTAAAATCAATTCAGTCTGAGAATGTTTACCTTTTCTAAAAGTTGTTGCCGCACCATCCGAAAGCATTAAATTGGCCCTATCGAATTACAACAGCCGTATTGAATCAGGTGCTTTGATTTTGCTCAGTGCTATTCTGTGAGAAAAAAAGGTGGTTAAGATTACACTTGTAGACATCAAATAAGCTGGAAGGTCGGCAGGAGTCTTTCATGCATGTTCAAACAGATAGGAGCAGCATAGGAACTAAAAAAAAAAAAAGAAAAAGAAAGAAGAAGATTCATTCCTGGCTTGTTTTCATAGTCTTTTTCATATGCCCAGAATTGACTTGCAATTGTCAATACCTACAGTAAAAGGTGCACAGCGTTGTCTTTGAAATTGTAATTTATGGTTTACGGTTATTATGGTTCCATATATCATGTGGGCTTTTTTTTTTCTTTTTTAAGGGGGTAGATGTGCTTTTGAGGTTATAAACCTGGAACTTTAAATAATTTAAAAAAGAATAATCAAATTACTAACTCCAAAAATGCAGACAGAGGCTGATCCTGGCCCCACTGAAACAAAAACTTTAAATATAAAATATGATTTATGTATAACATCATACATAATAGAGACACTTATATCCCAGAAGATGTGTTTCTAAGTAGTTATGTTAGTTTGAATAGATGAGGTGATAACATAATAATAACTTGTTGTCATTAGACGCCTTCATTTAAACTGTGAGTTGCCATACGTGTAACAATATTATTTTATTTTTAGATAGTTGGGGTCTTAACATAAAGTTAGACTTTAATGTCACATCTGCAGCCACAGCCTGCAATGTACATACATGAAATTTATAGTTGTTATAAGTATGTGCAGTGAACATAGTGTGGAGCTCTGTAAGACAATGACAGTGCTTCCTTCCAATACATTGCTTTACATTTATTTTACTCTGTGAATAAAGTGCTCCTGACTGTGACGTTCTGGAAATGAATGCATTGTGTTAAAGATTTTCTGTGATTCTCAGACTATCCAAACTGAATCTTACTGTTTCTAAGTGTTTGCTTAATAATGCATGAGCATCTGATTTGCACATTTGTGTCGGGACGCCCTATAAAAATCTCAATGAGCTCAGTCTCTCGTGGCTCAATAGATGGCAGTAATATCCCTCAATCACTGCAGTATGAATCCTCATCCCACATAAAATGCATGTATACACAGACATCCGTGCACACTGCGCACACATACTATATGCAGACGTGCACAAGAAATTATGTACACGTAAACACAAACACACTCCCACGCACGTGCACAAATGCATATGAACACACACACACACACACACACACACACACACACACACACACACACACACACACACACAAAAAAGATACAAGCGGAGCTCTCAAAATGCCAGAAGAGATGGAGATGACATCACTACAGCACATAAAATAAAAAATCAGTAAACAATTCCTTTCGTCTGCGTCTCTGTCAGTCCTCAGGTAATGTAGAGAAGCCTAGAATAAGTCAAACAGCGCAGTGGGAGAGTTGGGTGAGGGTATGACTTTGACACTGCAGTGTCTTTAACTTCATTGTGAAAGCCAACACTGGCACCGTATCTTTCTAATGCTCTGATTAGGCGAGGGCAAAAAAAAAGCAGCCTTTAGCTCAGAGATACTGTAATGTGTGTGCTTGTAAAGATGAAATCAATAGCAGCAGCACCTTCACAGGGCATCAGGGAACCGCCAGGACTCCAACTCAATACAATCCGTACCTATAACTGACAGAAATGTCTCATCTCACGGAACCCGGCGACTGCTCAGAGGTAAAAAGCGGCACTATGAATAATCGTGAAAACCATTTAATTGTGTCCCTTTGTGTGCTGCCTGCCTGGGCTCTGTGTTCGTTTTGTATTCACTCTCCCTCAAGATAGTCCCTGTGTCGTCATTTGTTGGCAGGATACGCTGGTAATCATTTGAATTCCCCCACTATGTTCAGAAGATGTCAGGGAGTAGTCTCTGATCTTGTTTAATATGTGACCAGCAGCTATAAATTACCAACTCCCAGAAATGAGGAAACATGGGTACTTTTAAATCTCCAGGGAGAGCTCTCTTTCTGTCTCTCTCACACACGCAGACTCTCTCTCTCTCTCTCTCTCTCTCTCTCTCTCTCTCTCTCTCTCTCTCCCCCAGTGTAGTAGTGTGTGTGGTAATCCCCTCCCCTTAATTTAGTTGACGTTCAAATAAAAACAAATACCTGTGACTTTTTTGTTGAAATAAGCAATTTTGCTTTTAGCCTATTTCAATGCTCCATGGGCATACAGTGCTGCACCTTGTTGCTTTTAACACATATGGCCAAGGTGTTTGAAAATGTGTGCTTCCTGCTTTGTTTATATTTCATATATCCCCGTTTTCTCATTAAAATCAATTGCTGTAAGCCACGGTGAGGAGGAAAACAAATTTTTCCAAACCTCCTTTGTTGCATTGTGTTGTGCAGTGGAGGAGGAAACAAATAAACCACATAGTGACATAATAGAGGTTGAGCAATGTTTGGTTTGGCTACATATGCAATATTGTTACAAACCAAATTAGTTGGAATAAAACTGATTGTTCTGTCTTAAAACTGTAAACCACAAATTGAAATTTTATCTTATAATTCAAATTTATTTTTTATTATTATTATTATTTATTTTAGACATTTGAGCTCATGTTAATAAAAAGTTCAGATTTGATTTAGGGTCTATGAATTAGTATGTATGAATATTAAATGTAAGCTCTTATGGTTAGTATAATTTCACTGCTTTTTAACAAAGTTTTCAAACAGTGTGACTTTCTTTTTTACAGGACAGATCAGGCCTTCTGTGACTTGTTTATGTTGACAAATTACAACTGAGTTATACAAGATTAAAGCTATAGCAGTTGCAAACTTCATTTAGTTAGGATTTCCCTTGGAAGACATGTGACTACTGTATCTATATCTGTACAGGAGGTGTTCTAGGCACATTTTGTTGTCAGCGTCTGTCTGCTAGATGCCGTGCTCATCACTGTCTGTGAGGCACCCGTTGTCACCCACGTTTTTTTTTGTTTTTTTCTACATTTGAATCTTGCAAGACTAAGGCGGGATAATGAGTGGTGAGACTTACTGTAGGGAGAATGTATACTCCTCCATCTCCTCCGTGGAGAGGTTCTCCATTGAAGGCTGCATCTTCTGTTTGTCTGCCTGCCGAGGCGGTGCGCCACTGCCGCTCACGCTGGGGCCGCAGCTATTTGTCTTCTTGATTGGCTTCTTCTGTGAGGAGCAGAAATCGGGGAGAACACATGCGGATGTCATTTGTAATCAAAGCAGGAAACAGGCCTCTGAATTTATCTTGGGGGATGCACACGGTGACAGTGACAGTGCGTGTGGCACTTTGGAGCCTCTCCTATATCTCAACCGCGCCTCAATTGACACGAGACAAGAATGACGGCAAAATCGCATACGGCACGCCATCATTCAAGTTGAGTTCATTTGGGAAACATGGGTACAGTGACGGTGGCGTTAAATATGTGATATTTGAGCAGCTGGCACTGTTTTTTTTCCACACAAGTCGTTTACTGTCATCGTCATAAACACAGTCAAATGGAGTTAGGAAGTGGGGTTTTAAATATTTCACCAAGGTACTTGGGAGCAGATATTATTTGTTAAGCCGCCAACATGTTAACGGCTTGCTTTCCCTGGCCCTGTCAGCCCTGCCTGTGTTGCCCTTGGGTGGGCTTAGTGCCTTTCTGCTTGAAGTTGTGAAATACTCACTGATGTATGTTAATGAGATCCACAGTTGGAATAAGCAACCTCTCTCTTTCTTCCATCCCGTCTCCCTCTACCTCTCTCCATTTCAGTTTTTTCATCTTTTCCTCTCCTCCATCTTACTCCCTCTCTCTTCCTTTTTCTCCCTCTGAGATAAACTAGGCCCTGGAAGTAGTAAATGGGCAGGGCCCCATAAAAGCTCCATCCGTTTTCATAGGGCAATCTTTGCCAAAGCAAGCTTGGATTCCAGAGTGATGATCACAATAAAAAGGTGGAAAGGAGCGGGAAAGAAAGCAGAGAGAAAAAATGCAGGAGATATATAAACCGCAATGTTCTCCGGTGTCTCCCCACAATAAATTTAATGCAATACCTTAAGAGCGGATTCCGTATATAGCAGGATTCCTGCCCTGTGGGCAAAGTGGTCGCCTGGAGAAAATTCATTTTAATTAGGCCTGCACTGCAGGTTGAAGGGTTGAAATCTGATCCCTAGCGCTCCCAGGCTGGGGCAGGTTGGAGATCACTCCACTTAATCATTAGACAACTGGGTTCCACACCACGACATTTGACAGAGTTAGCAAGGTTTTAAAGATAGGGCCAAGAGGAGAAGAAAAAAAACATGGTCTACAGAGGCTGCAGAGAAATAAAACCTCATATCAACAAACTCATTTATTTAACAGGTCATCACTGATTAATGGTGGTCTGAAGAGCCTCTTGTACATCAGCAGAAGGAGGTTAGTAAGAATAAAGACTTGGAGGGATGGAAGAGAGAGGTAGGAGGGGAGGATGTGTATACGTGTGTGACAGATGGAGGCTTGTTCATAGGCTTCTAACTACCTCAACAATAACATCACAACAACAAAAGGCCGCAGCGGAGGCACAATGGCAGGGGCGGACCGGGAGACAGCAATGCCAGATCAGCACACAGAGTAATTTTGCAATTACCACTTCAAAGTATGGCAGGTAACATGCAGGCTTTGATTAATTTAGCTTAAGTCCTCTGTAGCACAGGAAGAGGCGTGTTTAGAGCGGCTTGGAGAAAAAAAAGGGAGGCCTGGCTGGCTTTGCTGATTTCACAGAATTTGAGCTGCTTTGGCTTGTCAAGCAGATCAAAACTGGCTTTGAAGGCTGAAAAATACCTGTTAGTGTGAAATGTATTTTGACAAATCTCAGATAATAAGCCGGGGAGGTGTGTGCAGGGGCGCAGAGAGGGGCGGGAAGGGAAGGGGAAGGGGAAAGCGGTGAGGGTGCTCATTTCAAGGGTGGGAAGAGTTTCCCTTAAATCACAGTGTTACCTTGTAGTGAATCCCACCCTCTGCTTTCTCCCTGCATGGATCACTCTTCTCTCCCGTGTTTCCAGAAATGGCTCCCGAGGATGGATTCTTCCCTGCAACCCAAAAAAGAGAAGTAATGTGCGCAATGTGAGTGTGAAAAAGAAAGAAAGGTTCATGTTTGTTTTCTTTTGCAAACCACATCTGGCAATCATAGTGAGGATCAAGGGTGGCTGAGTAATATTTATATTACACAATCCAAATGATTATGAGTTGTTAAAAGGACTGATGAACTATAAAAGCAATAATGGAAATTGAGGAATAAATACATTATAAATATTTTAATGCTAAAAACTAAAAGGTTTCATGTGTAAAATGATTTTTAAATTGAGGTAAAATGCTAGGTTTGTAATGACACTTAGATAAGAAAAATACCTTAAAATAAATATGTTGTTTGCAGTGTACCAAGGAATCAAATAAAATACTTCTGCATTTCTGAACACACTGCAAGTATTGCTTTTGTCTTGTTTTTCTACTCCTAGGCAGGTAGTGAAGATGTTTTGCTATACTATCTGGAGACTTGCAAAAGAAACAAAGGCTGGTTTTACTCTGTACAGAGAGAAGTAGGAGTGTTAACTTATGGAGATCCCACTGCACAGTCATCTCTGTCTCCCACAATCTCAGAGCTGAACCTTCCCAGCCTCAACGCTCTAATGTATGCAATTAGAAAAGATGAAAAATCAAAAAAGAAATTAAGTTTGGTTGTAATACATTTTCCCATTCTTCTCTTCTTTGGAAAATTACTTTTGAAGTATTTTTCATCCTAACCCTCTTTTTTTCCTTTTCTCTCTCTATCTGTCTCACTCTTTTTTTTTTTTGCTGTAATTTAAATGGTAAGCCGCCAGATGTGTGTCTCATGCTTGAAGAGTCGGAGATCTGCATTATTTAGCATATTAACATTCACAGAATTTAAAAAAGGGTTCCTGCATTGCCTGGAGGTTGTAATTAAGTAAACCTTAGCTTGATACATGTAAAAATCTCACTATGTGAAACTTTTTTCCCCCCGTGGAACCAGTCACATCTATATAATACATATGGAAACCTCTACGATGATATAATTTTTCCCTTGCTGCAGGATTAAATATATCAGTAATAATAACTTAAATATAGGCAACACATCAGGAATCCGTCTGACAGCTAAAATGTCTTTAAATGGCAAGAAGAGTCTGCTCACTGCTATTTTGAAGGAAGTCTGAAATTTCATCCTGACACAGATGTAGTTTTTAATTACCACTGCTTTGCTGGTAAGCATTTGGAGAGCCTACAGTTACAAGGTAATAATTGTATTTGTTCTGTGCGAAGGATAAAATAATTTAATGACATTACATAACTGTATACTCAATTTTGTGTTCACCAATTATCTTTTGTACATGGTGTGAACATATCTTAATGCCTGGACTTGAGGAAAATGTATTTTTACACACTCCAAATGTAGAAAGTCCATTAAAAAATTAAATAAAATTACTGCCATGATAAAATGTAAAGAATGGAAAAGTACTTAGAAAGTGTGGGGAGATGGAGCGCATCAAGAGGCACAAAGTCACAAGAGACCCTTTTTTGTCAAATACACAAAATATCTATTTGGTCAGTATCTCAGTTTTTCACCCACAAAGAAAATACAATCCGCATGTCTAAGGTCTAAAACATCCAAATTCAACTATTTGTCATTAAAATCGCAGTTCATTGTTTTAATAGTTTATTTCTAATATTCCAAGTAGACGTACACTTGACCAAGTATTACATTACAGCAAGGTGTGTGTGTGTGTGTTACTGTGCACACAGAGCAAGCCAGCCCATGGCCAGCTGCTTTTACACACACACATACACACACACACAAGGACACACACGGACATCTCAACCTCTATTAGCAAACAACATCAGCAACCATGGACTCACAGACTTGGACCACCATGGCACCTTTCTTAGACTGCGTAACCACACACAAACACACACACACACACACACACACACACACACACACACACACTCTCTCATTACACCAGGCCCCACTTGCTAATGCGCAGTAGCCGTGGAACCAGAATGAGCGCAGAGGCAGCATCGGCAGCTTCGACATCATCGACAGCTTCGACAGCTAAGGGCTACGTCTGTGAACTCAGAGCGCTGGAGCTGCCACAACTCCAGCCTCTCCGGGCACTCAAGGCCAACAACAAACTCCTTGTTATCCCCCTGTGCGCTCTGAGCTGTGTTAAGACCAGCTCACACACACACACACACACACACACACACACATACTCATCCAGTGCATACGCTGTATTGACGCACCCACACACAGAAAGGCATATAAGCAAAGATATTAATATGTAGACACTTGCATACATGTACAAACATTTTCCAGGGTAGAAATACAAATGAGTGTACCTCACAACGGCATAATTCAACACACCTCTTTTCTCTCTTGCTTACACACAAAAACAGGCCAAGGAAAGAGAAAAGCCTGAGGGCCGTAACACTGTCGAGACCCCATCGCTGTGTTACCGGTGAGATGCAACCAGGCTGAGATGGCGGATCTTGCTCACCTAGGCCCCCTAATTGCCTGATGACTGGTCCAAAGTTACAGAGGGATCAAAGGTGAGTGACTCACGGATTACCCCTGAGTCCATGTCGGGATTTGTGTTAAGGTTGCAATGATACTGTGAGGATTTGGTGTCGCTTCACACAAGAGTTTATTTTCTTGCAATCCACTTTAATGACAATAACAGATATCCAGTGAATGCTAATATGTAGATATGTGTGTTTTGTTTAAGGACTTTTTCCCTGTTACTGGTGAAGTGTGTAGCTCTTGAAAATTAAATCTGTGTTTGTCATGTTCACTGAAACGCACATAGGCTAAAACTGCCTTATCACACAAAAACTATGGATTTTCAGTGCGTTTTGGAGGCAAGACAGTGTCACCTTTGGGTGTATTTGTCCCATATGCTCTGTTTTTGTCCCCCCACGCGCACTCCTCTAGGCTTGTTTACCACACCCACTGTGAGGGTTTACATGTGTATCTCTGCAAACAAGCTTCAAAGGTTGAATCCATCCATTTGGAATCCGGACATTGTTGAATTAATCGGAGGGATGCAGAGTGGGACTGATTGAGAGGGTATGATGTAACATTGTGGTTTGAAACTCTGATGACTGGGACCGGCCTGGAGGGGAGCACATCCTGAAAGTGCAGGGCAGCGCTCCAAAGAAGACATTAGATGAGGAATCCTCGAAATCACCATAGGGGCTCAAGGGGATGGATGTTACGACGCATTTGTAAAAAAAAAAAAAAAAAAAAATGAAGAGAAATGAAGAAGTGATACAGTTATGGCAGAATCATCTGCGTGCTCACAGTGATTCACTAAAGGCGATCATGAAACAAGACACTAATCTAATTAGTCATTTGGGTTCAAACAAACCCAATGTAACTGGATCATTCAGTTAATGTGAAAGGTCACTTAACCCAGTGCGCCTCTAGCTAATCTCTACGTTAAAAAGCCCCTCACTCCATTATGCTTGGACAAGTCAACTGAGGTAAATTAGAATTATTATCAACCAATAGCAAGTGAATGTGAAGCACAAAACACCCATACCCACACAACAGCACTTTGAGTATAATCTTCAGATTTTTCGATCAAAACTTGTCAGAGTTACTATCTTGGATTGGGATGTCAGGTTTTGTTCTGTAATAGACACCTCACCACACACTGTGATTTTTCTACAGGGATTAATTAACTTAAGGCCTCAGGAATACAAACTTCTTGTCTCACTGTCAAGCTCTGCTGTGTGTACGTTATCGCAGTGACAAGAGGTCTCCGTATACTTGTCCTGATTCTGAGACAAATGGGTAATGAGGAAAATCCTGGCGTCACATGCGCAGAGAAAGCGATCTCCACACAGCACACATCAGAAACAGAGAGGCATGAACTGGGAAGGAAATGTCTGAGACCCCCAGACTTGACAGAGGACTGAGGAACAGGGGATAATTTGTTCTTCTTCTCTGTGCTGAATTGGATATCCATTTTTGGCTAGGTTAAAGTTGTCCATCCAATCGCTTCCTTCAACCTTGACGTAATCTCCCCCATCTGAATGCCATAATTCACTCCAGAGGTAATGCAAAATGAACGGATCTGTATGCAAATGAGGCGCAAACGTCAGGTTGGCTTAGGAAACAGTGTGGATGAGGTGATGTGCAGGACACCTTTTGATCCGCTATTTCACTTACGGATCGGGTTCACTTCCCAAGCAACCTCTTCACCTGGCTGCGAGAGTGTGTGTGCCAGACTAAGCAGCCGGGTGTGTTGAAGAGACCTGGTACCTTTTACCTTGCCTGGCAGAACATAAATCTCCCATAGTGAGTGCTTCCCTCCCTCCTTCCCTCTCTCTCTCTCTCTCTCTCTCTCTCTCTCTCTCTCTCTGGAAAGGCAGTCAGTTCGTTGGGGACACTTCCCTTGTGGGCGTTAGGATCTCTGTGGGGGGTCACAGGTCAGTCGGCGGAGGAAGCGACAAGCTGTGAAATGTAAAAGACCAATTTCTTCCACATGTTTCAGTGCTGGGAGAACACTGCCAAGCTGTCAGCCGGCATCACGTTTAAAATGGGCCAGGGTGCTACCCAGCAGACCTGTCACAACTCATTTGTAATTAAAAAGCCTGTGTGATGTTTAAAGCAGAGCACCCCAGAAACTTTTGAGGACTGTTAAATAAAGATGAGCTGTGCGTGCAAAAAAAAAGAAAAGGAAAAAAAGGGGGATGTATTAATAACAAAGAAGCTAGCCAGTTGCCTTTGTAGTAGATCAATACCAAATGAGCCTGTATTTGATTCCTGGCTATAGCCAGGATGTTGGATGACTTGAGACTAGGTTACAAAAAAGAATAGTATGTTTTTAAAATGAGAAAGTGGATTCTTATTACTATTAACAGAAGTCATTAGCCACCTCAAGATGTGGTTTCAACTCTGATGGACACAGTTCTACCTATTCAGGATCATATTGGAGCTTATCACAGCTCGCACTGAAAGAAAAGCAAAGGAGCACCAGTCCATCACAGGACTAAAACATGGAAACATAATCATATTCACACCTGGGAATGTAAGTCTCAAATCAACCTGACCTGCTAGTCTTCAGACTGTAGGAGGAAACCAGATCACCCGAAGGAAAATCGTGCAAATGCGGGGGGAACATGCAAGCTCCACACAGAAAAGAGCCTTCTTTCTGTGAAGCAACACTAACCACTGAGTCACTATGCAGTCGCTGCAGTAGTTCATTTGCTATCTAAAATCATTTCATTCTGTTTCCCAGTGCCACTGGAAAAAAGTGATACAAAACAAAGGAAATCAGATTATATTTGAAACTTGAGTATTTTCATAGATAATGGGACAGATAACGACTCCAAGACGGTAATCAGAAATGTGTGATGGATAGTTTAACGGCGGAAACAGAACTCTATTTGAAATTATTACTCAACAATTTCAATTTTTAGAATGTAACACAATGCATCGTCACATTAAGCACAACCACATTGTGCCAGAGCCAGAACACCTTTATGTAATGGCAAGGTAATACAACTATTTGTGTGGGCGAAGTCAAAATGCTTTGTGTATTTTAGCTTGGTTGGGTACTGAATAGATTAAATAGCAGTCATGTGAATGTAAATGTGCCACCACAGCCTATTTACTAAAAAAAAACTGCCTTACTAATAGCTTTAAAACATAACATATAAAAATTCAAACTTAAAATCTACATTTAATAAATAAAATATTCAAAATGCTGTCAATTTATTAGTTTATATAATGGTTTTCATGTCATCATACCAAAGAGGGTTTGTTTACTTATTTAAGTTGTGGTAATTTTAAAAAGCTTTATCTGAATTTGTTACAAGTGCTGTGCTTACTGCTCAAACATTTGCCTGAACTAACATCAGTGCTACAGTGTATCTGTTGAATTTTTGCATATAATCTAACTGAGAAAACATTGTTTATTTGTCTGTCAAGCTTGGCCCACTGTCTCTACCCAACCCTACCCTCAAGCACATTCACCTCAGTGGAGAACTGTTGTAAGTGAGGCCTGCCATTCTTCTTATCCCAGTGCTTGTGACATTAGGGTGACATTTTCTCCCCACTGTGGCATAGTCGGGGGTTTTAACATTAGACCCCTACCTGGCAGAGATGAGGAAGAGCAAGCAGAATCAGCTGACAGGTGGAGAGGAGACCCCCGGTGAGAATGTACCACAGCGGGCTCTCCTGCTCTGCTGCTGGGACTCGCATGCCGCTGCTTTTGGGGGTAGAACTGGGACTGGGGATGAATCGGCTGAGGACGGAGCTGGGCCTGTGATTGGGGCTGGGGCTGGAGAGGCAGTTGGCCTTGGGCTTGTTCAATATGGACCTCAGGTTGAGGCATGACAGGGGGGTTAGGTGGGAGTAACGGCAGGGTGATGCAGCACTCGGACCCCCCAGATGTTCTGGAAGGGAGCCTCTTTACCTGAAACACCACAAACAAGAGAGTGAGAGAGGTCTACATATGGGTTGAGTGAACATTAATATAACCTCGTCATGTTAATGTCATCAGCAGTTATGGTAATATCATTCCATTGCATCACCAGTGTTTGTGGGAAAACAGCATGTGTGTAATTAAACTACAGGTGTTAGTGATCAAACTGCAGACATAGCCAACTATTAGTATTTGTCATCGTGTGCTATGATGGCATAAAATAATTTAATTAAGACTAGTATGAATATTGTATGTCCTATCATGCTGTACATTTGCAAAGATGCACACAAATATGAAATCAAAGCAATGATAATGCAGTAATGATAATGCAGTAATGATAATGCAGTAATAAAAACAACATGTCACAGTCGAAGGGACAAATAAAGAGACAAACCCAAGACAGAGAGCTTTGTTCTGGCTTTTAATTCAATTAAGATGTTTACTAATCTAATCAATGCATCAGCTCAAATGCATCCGGAATTGCTGGGTAAAGATGTGGTTCTTGTTTGCTCTCTGGGGCCAATTTCCAATTGCTCTACAAAAGCTTTTTATCATAGAAAATCCAACCCCCCATCTACCCAGATCCACTATCCTGCCTCCCAAATAATGTGTGAGGGAAAAGATGCATGTACACACACACGCACACATATACACGATTATACACAATCATATGGTTTAACTACAACTCATACCTGCCCACAATTATGAATATAACATGTAAAAAAATACAATGAGATTAGATGAGAATCTTCAAAGAAGCATGCACACACACACAAACACACACCTGGAAGTACAGGTTGCACAGCCAGTGGTCTAGATCAGAGGAGATGAGGGCTTCAATTTTTTTAAACTGGTCCAGTTGTGTGTTCGGCTCCCCCCTGAGTAGAGGGGTCTTGAACCTGGGTCAATGACACATAGCCAGTAATAGTCACACTCCGCTCAACATATTGGACAACTTTTTGGCATTCAATCTGAAGGTTTATTCTAATTTCATGTCACTCCATGTGATGATTTTGCTGGGAATCATAGTAGTGTATTGATCTAAAATATATACTGTTCAAAATACAAACTCTTTTAGGTCCAACAGTAATCTTTGATCTGCCTTTGACACACCTGCCGTGGACATGACTGAGGTCTGGGCCACTAACAGGAAATGCCCCCCAGGCCAGCACAGAGCTGATGTGGCTGCTGTGTCCTGGTAGTGCGATCAGTTGGAATACCATGACCATGGAGGGGACAACCTCACAGGCTGCAGGTAGGATCTGCAGAAATAAAGGAAAAATATAGTTTCAGGTGAATATTCCTGCAGACCCGTACACTTACACACACATATACAGACAGACTTTCTCACAGTCACAACGGCAAAGACAAACAGACACAGAGGTTAACAAAGGACAGGAGCCCCTAGGCAGCCACTAAATGTGCATCCTAGACTTGAATCCTCTTTTACCTTATTTCCATGTTCTTTTTAGAGCCTACTTAACTGCCATTCTTGTCCGTCCAACTCAGCAAATTGCCAAAAAGGAGATTTTGTAATGATAAAGACTGTTGGCACCTAACGCAGGGTGGAGGGGAAGTCGAGAGTCGTTGTAGTCTATGAGCTGACAGTTACTGAATTCTACGATGCAGGGAGGCCACCATCAATCAAACTAATGACATTAAGGGTGTCTTGCACAAAGCAAAAAGTGTTAGTGGTTAGCAGTTGATGGCAAACACATACATTCTTATTTATCCAGAGAACGGTGGGTTTGCTTAAAAAATGAACTGACAGTGAGGTGTGTGCCACTTCATCCATCACCGGGTGGAAATATTTTATTCCTTTATTAGTTGTAATGGAAAACGCAGGGGACTTGTTTTAACACATAAATCATGTGTATCCCTCCTACCCCACCCCCTCCTATCTGCTTTTGGTATGCACCTGTGAAATGATGGGTAGTAGTGTCTGACTCAGGACACAAATTTATGGCATAATATCACGGATTATGGATATTGAGGATATTTCATATTATTCATTTACTGTAAGAAATATGACCTGCATAAATAGTAATTTTGTGCATGTGCGAGTGCATATGTGTGAGGTGCTTGTATGTAGACATGTGCGCTTGTTGGCATGTATGTGTATGTGGGAAGTGTTGAGGTTTGAATGTGCTTCAGAGGTTTTCTCAGTTCCTCTGTTTGCTGGAGGAGCTACTTATACCATTCAAAATATCTTCTTTAATTCAAAACACACTGATCTCACTTTTAACAAAAGAGTGCATGTGTCCACACAAGAAGTATATAGCAACTATTATTCTGCAAGATGACTCCTTGGTTCTTCCTCAACGACCAACGCGTAGGACAAACGAATAAAAAGGGGGAAAAAACAAGAGCAAATTCATGTCTCTCCATACAGACTTCCTGGGATCTTTCATCTTTCTTCTCTTTCCTTCTTTATTCATTCATTCTTCTTCCCCCTTTAATATTAAAATGTGAAATTGTATGCCTCTTCCCGATTTCAAAAACTGCACAAAGACTCTGAGCCTGACTCCTCTCAAGTGCTCCCACTTGCCAGCATATCCAAGACATCTCTGACTGAACTGCACTGTTTCTATCTAAATCCAAACCCAGACACACAAAACAAAGGGTGAATGAAAAAATAGGGAGAGAGAGGGAGGAAAGGAAAGGAAAATAAGCTCCTGGCTTCCCCTTACCATCACTAATTCCTCATTTCCTCTTAGAAGGCACTGCAAGCACTCCTGAAATCGCACGCTATAGTGTGGGCAAGGGGAGAGAGAGAAAACATCCAAGCCAATCCTGATAGTCTCAGACAAATCTGATCAGCGCTTCCACCACTATCAATGAGGACAACAACAACAGGTTTGTCTATAAAGCACAGCCGAGTGTTTGGCGGGGAAAGGAGGGAAGTAAGAGTGACATGAGGCATTTAACATGCCGTTCTTAAACCTTTTTTTACCTCTGAATCAGATCCCAGGTCCACATTCAGTTCATGCCAGCTTTTACCCAATCCTTTATGTTTGATGGGAGCTGGAAACAATATTATCAGGATGCTCTAGTTCAGTAAATACGCCCACCAGCACATTGACAGTGTCCACATGTGCAAAATACTCCAGCTAAGGCCTTTAGAGTTGCCATCAGAACACTGAAGAAGCCCTTTCTGAGCCTGTACAAAACTCTATGGGATCAGGAGGGACACTGGATTTAGTGGCTTCTGTTTTAAGGTTTCTCTTGTGAATCTTTTGTACTGTGCACACATCATCAATGAATAAACATAAACAAAGATTTCTAATCCACTGGTCAATATGGACCATCCAAAACAAGTATGTGGGTTTTTTAAGATTAGTACAGCTCCTATAGAAGATGTTTTCCCTCATATCAAGAGGTTTAGGAAAGTGGCTGTGAAATGTGCATAGATTTCATCTAATGTAATCTACTGTGTTGTTTCATGAAGAGGACCAAATGTGAAAACATGTTTATTCTTTTATTATGGATTGGAAATGGAGGTTGGGATTCTTAATACTCTTCAGAAATATTACATTTCAGTCAATTCTGCCTAACTTTTCTATTTCTTTCTTTATCCCCCCGATCCAGCCCCACGTTGTTACAGATGCTCAAAGACATGCAGAAAAGACACTTAATTTTTCACTGCATTTGTACTTCTTTTTCATTCCAATAAAACATTACTTCCTTATATAAATGAATAATTGATCTTGGGTTTGATTTACATGCATGGATTAAATGTCATGTTTGAAAAGTTGTTGTTTTATTCATATGGAGATCCCCCAGAGGATAACCTAGAGGCTGTGTGTGGCATATTTTCATATGCCGTCTTTTACAGCAATATAACTTCTCATAACCATTTCAATCTAGAAACTGCTCCGTCTTCACTGCAACTGATGAAACCATGGAAAACAGAAAGAGGAATTTGGAAATACTGTAGCAAAAACAAAAACTAAACATGCAGTGTGGTTGGTTCTGTCATATTAGCACAGCATGTTTTATTGTTTGCTTTTATCTAAGAGGACTGTTTGTTTTTAAAATCACATTTTTATAAAATTTTTCCATTGAATTTCACATCAAAGGCTTTGTCCATGTCATTGGAAGTGAACATGTTTTAATCCAGGGTCCCTCAGTGTCAAAATTGCTTTCAGATATAAGATGTTTCATATTTATTCCAAAAAAAGAAATATTCAAAGCAGCTTCCCAGGCATCATATGTAATTAAATAAAATTGCACAGTCACAAATAACAACCCGATTGTGTCCTTTCCTTGTTGAATAAAAACATATTAGTGTCAGTACAGGAAAGCATCATGTCACTGGTACCTGCAAATAAACTGCAAACCAAATATTTAGTACAGTACCATATTTTTTATATTTTTTAACATTATCCTAACCACACATGTTTTAGCATGTACAATTATTTTTGCATTTAACCAACATCTCATCAAAAAATCCTCACCATGAACAGGCTCTGGTTAATGTGCAGGTCAGTGTCATAGAAGCGACCCCGATGCTCAATTGGCTCAGTGGACACCACCCATTGTTGCTGCTCTTTCTTGCTGCACCAGGCCAAAGCTGGACCCCCTAGACGGCTGTGAAGGGCAACACTGACAGTGTAGAGGCCCCTTGGTAGCTTGTCTCTGGTGGCTTTTAGGCAACAGACACACACCTCCACAGGCTGGGGAGTTGTGCTCTGGGTCACCTAGAACACACAAAATGCAGAGCATGAGATTTGATTGCAATATTTTGTCGGTTCTGTATTATCTCTAACTCAGAAAGAAATGCACAGATAATTAATAGATAATCCTGAACCCCTTGCCAGTGTCTTTCTGTGTTACTCAGCCTGTAGTGGACAGCTTGACTTGACTTGTCATAGCACTGTCAACCTCTAAAGAATTAACTTTCACTTAGAAAATTTGATGGCATTATTCCCTCTTTTAGTGGTATTTTTTAAGTTGCAGGTAGGTTGTTTGTTGAACAAGGAGAGTGTTTTTATCCAACTGCAGTCAAGCAGCATTATATGTAAGGCATGCCCAGTACAGCTGCAGGCTTCCATCTACTGATCTCCATTCAACCATTTAGGGGTTAAGTGCCTTGCTCAAGGGCGCATCAGCATTCCTTGTAATCAAATTTGAGAGTAATATTTATTACATTGGCCACATTGCCCATTCAGATAAAGGTTTCGGAACGCCAACCTTCTGGTAGTGAGCTCATCCCACTAACCTTCAGGCTACATCAGCCCACTTGTTTATTTTCGTGTTTGTTTTGGTGACATGTGCCTCTTTTTGGGGCTTAGGATGAGTAATAGGGTAAGCTGGCTAGACAGTTAAGTTTTTTATTTAAACATAATCAGAGAACAATATAAATACATATTCAGTCTTTTGTCCCCTGTGGCATCTGTTGAACAACACTGAATAAAAAGTCAATCTGGCTTAAACAGAGCCCCTTTGGTCTTTATCACCATTTATATGTTTTTAAACTTCACTAACAATGTTGGTTTGTCTATTACTTGACCGATGGACATTTTGTCCATCCATTTCTTCATCTAGGACCAGCCCAGCATCTCAAAGGCTACTGGGCACATTGCCATTCAATTTTGTGAGGACATTAATGGTCCACAGAATATGATTCCTGATATTTTTGATGATCCCTTCACCTTAATTATAGTAATATCATCAGACCAAACGTTCCACTTGTGTACGACAAATATAAAATCCTATCCCAAACAATCTTTTCCTGCCCTATCCTATCATTTACCCTCCTGTTCTATAAAGTACAGCTTGAGAGATAGACAGGAAAGGACGTGCAAGAGACAGAATGAAATGCAGCAAAGGGCCACAGGTCAGATTCAGAACCATGGTCTATGCAGCAAGGACACATGGGGCATCAGCTCTACCAGTGAGCTACCAGGGCTCCCTGTATCCTATCCTGTCCTATCCTATGCTATCCTATCCAGTATTATCCCATCCTATCCTAACTCATCCTATCCCTATTCTATGCTATCCTATCCAAGCTTATCCCATACTATCTTTGCTATCTTATCGTATCCTATCTAATCCTATCATATCCTATCCAACCATATCCTATGCTATCCTCTCCTGTCCTGGTCTATCCTATCTTGTCTTATCCTATTCTATCCTATGGTATCCCATCCTATCCTATCCAATCTTATCCCATCCAATCCTATGCTATCCTGTCCAATCATATCCTATTCTATCCTATCCCATCCTATCCTATGCTATCCTATCCTGTCCTGGTCTATCCTATCCTATCCTATCCTATCCTATCCTATCCTATCCTATCCTAACCTAGTGTATCCTATCCCATCCTATCCTATGTTCTCCTATCCTGTCCTGGTCTATCATATATCCTATCCTATCCCATCCTAGTCTATCCTATCCTGTCCTATCCTATTCTGTCCTATCCAATGCTATCCCATCATATCCTAACATAGCCTATTCCATCCCAGCCCATCCTATCCTATGCTATTCTATCATGTTCTATCCTATTCTATGCTATCCAATCTTATCCCATCCTATCCTATCCCATCTCATCCCATCCAATTCTATCCTATCCCATCCTTTCCTATCCCATCCTATCCTATCCTATCATATCCTATGCTATTGTATCGTATTCTATCCTATTCTCTCCTATCCCATGGTATTCCATCCTATCCTAACATATCCTATTCGATCCTATACCATCCTATTCAATCCTTTCCCAACCTATCCTATCACATCCCATCCTATCCCATCCAATCCTATCATGTCCCTTCCATTTCATAAGTGCATGCATTTATTTCTCTCTGATTATCTAAGTTGCATCTCTTAATGCCCATTCATTTAATGTATTTGAATTTACACTGCGTTGACCAACTCCCTCGGGCAAATTTTGAGTATCTGGTAATTAAAGCCCCCAATTCCAATCAATGACATCGTAGCACTCAAGGGCTACATGCGCTCACACACACACACACACACACACACACACACACACACACACTCGTACGCTGTATTTGTTTTACAGTATACGGTGCAATAAGTGTTGTCACCAAACAAGCTGAGGCTGTTCCTAGCCTTTTCACAGGCACCCACCACACACACATTCACCTACCAGTGGCTGGCGAAGCCCATTGCTCTGCCAGCCTCTGAGGGGGGAAGGTGTGTGCTGAGCCCTGCAGTAATGCCCCTCAATCTCCCCACTGTGAGCATCTTTGCATACCAAAACAACAAAAACAATTTAGGCAGAAGTGAAATTAGTATAATTGGTGGCAAAGCGGTTTAGCCCACACGTCTCACATTTGGGAGGAGGTGATGGAGGCCTCCAAACCCCCACACTGGAAGGAGATGTATGCACGCAGACTGGAAAGGAAGAGGAGGAGGAGGAAAAAAGGAGAAAAAAGAAGCAAAGAAATATAAAACAATAATGTCACACCGGTGTCCAATTTGCACTATGTGTGTCTTTAAAGGGTATTGTTATTATCTGGCCCACATGGTTGCACAGGCGTCATAAGAAACAGTCAAGACAGCAAGGAGAAGGTAAAAGGTGAAGTGAGCCAATTTTCCATATCAGAGGTGGTTTGTTTGCCCCGAGCCTGAGTTGTGCCTAAAGTGCCATAACATTACAGCACTCCTACAGATGAGATCAAAGGCTCTAGCAAGGGATCCTCCGTGGTTTTGCTGGCAAGCGGCCGTCCTTTCGCTGAAATATCTTTTCAGGGCTTTCCACACATTGACTGATCACACAAAATGCACTCTTAATAGAGACAGGAAATGCCACATACAAAAACTTCCTTTCTTTCTAAGTATGGGCTAATATTCAGAGATTAAGCTTTCTCGTTAATTATTTTCATTTTAATTAGTAAATCTTAATTAACAATGAACATTTACCCTTAAAATTTTTTGGCTTCGGAATGAAGGAGGGGGGTGAAGAAAGGAGAGAATAAATATGACAATCTTTTTGGGACCTCCGGGCAGGATTACTGATGCAGGCTGCCTTAGTTATTAAACACGTTCTAAATTAAATGCCTCCATGAATTTTGCACAGAAATATATTTTCATAGTTTTGCATGCCAAATGTGACATTTTATATTTCAGATTCATCTCGCTGCAGTAATTTTAGGGAAATGTCATATAAACAAAGATTTTGTCATTTACCAAAGGAAATTACTATGCGTGGCAGGTTTGGCCATTGCTTTCTCTCTCTCTCTTTCTCTCTTTCCCTCTCCCTCTTTTGCCCCCTATTCTGCCTGTGCCGGTTGTTTCAAGTCAGCAAGCCATAAAAAATCTTTATCTCAGTGAAACACAGCAATTTGGGAGATAATCGAATGGTGACTGGGGGGCACAAACGCCAGTCTGAGGAATTATACCACAATCTCCCCTGCATTTACAACCTTCCTCAAAGCCAGTTGTCACCCTGGAAGGAAAGCCCCCGACTGAAGATTCATTACATCTTTAAGCCAGCACGGTGGCATGGCAGCCTCATCCCCAGATGCAACACAACAGCACACTCCTCCCACAGCTGGTGATGCTACCGCTAAAGCTGCAGCTTCCTTCTCTCTTTCCCACTTGGTTCTCTTTTCTCTCCTCTCCCTCTGTTCCCCTTTTTCATCTCCAAAGATTCCTTCTCCCTCCTACTTAGACTCCTAAAACCACAGACAACATCCACACAAAGCAGGAGAAAAACATCTTTATATACGGAATAAAAATAATGTGGCTGCATAGTTTGCATTCAGCGTATGGAAGCCTTTTTCTCAGCGCTATATAGTGCCTGTGTGTGAATGTGTGTGCCTTTGTGTAGGCATGTGCACATACAGTCCCCTTTGGTGTAATGAAAGGAGTGAAGGAATTTGGAAAACTAGAAAATAAGGGATATGATTTTTCCCATTCTCTAACAGGTCGCATTCATCACAGGATTTCACATAATTACATCATTTGACTGTTTTTTAACAAACAACCTTCCCTCTTTTTTTTTTTTTTTTTTTTTTTTGGATGATTTGTAAACACTTCCGGATCAATACCTCCCCCCTGTGAAATAACCTTTTAGACATTACGAGGTATGTCACTTCCTGTTTGTGTGCTTCCTACAAATGTGTGTCGCTCAGTCCCCAGTCACAGCGGCTGACAGATCTTACCTGCCACAGGGGCTGTGATGCTGAAGAGGAGGATTCTGGGAGCTCTGTCATCTGGCCGTATTTGGCCACTGCTTCGTCTTGGCCTTCCCCCAGCGCTCTGAGTGACGGGCTTTCAGTGGTTCTGCTGCTACACGCACAAACACACACACACACACACACAGACGTATACAACAACTCACACAAACATAAGAAGCTAACCCTGTTAACAGCCACCTGCATTGTGGACTCTCTGTTGTTCCACTCTGTAGCCAACAGCAGCTCAATCTAATAACACCACAACAAAACACTTTCCACTGGGTCCCTCTCTCTCTCTCTCTCTCTCTCTCTCTCTCTCTCTCTCTCTCTCCATCTCTCTCTCTCTGCCTTTCTCGGCCTTTCAATCTTATCAGTGGTAATGTAATAAGCGGTTGCTTCGCTCTGTCTCCTCGCCACCTCTCTTAATTCCTCAAAATAAAGCAATATCACAGGGGCCCTGGCCTGCCTGTGACTGGGGATAAGATGCTTGTAAAAGGAAGGATAATTCAGCAAATAAATGCTCGGCATCAAAGGCAGGCACTGGGTCTTTCTTTCCTTTCTCTCCCTCTCTCCCTCCTCTCTGTTCGCCTATCAAAAGTATTACATGTGCTTTCATCAGTTCACAACAAGGCACAATGTGCTTCCTAATGCAATTACTCGACCTCCATTAAATCAGAAACAGTGGAAACAAATGAATTACACATTTGTTACAAAAACCACAAGTCAGCTCTGCGTCTCTTCTCTTTATTTTTTTTTCTTTCATAGGCGTAGGGAGAGAAAAAGTGAAATCATTTCTCATTAAATTTCAGGCAGATGTAGCCCTAGGTGATGCATAGAAAGTCTCCCATGTCTAATAGCCACCCACCATTGATATCAGAAGGAATTTACAGGGTTCAAGGCTGTCGAGAGGAGGTCATCTCGCTAAACTCCGAACCACATTCATCTGACAGAGCTGGTGTCCGACTACCACCCACCCATAAAACAACCAAACAAGAGAAGATACTGATGTGTACAGTAGTTTCTTGATTTTATCATGTCAGCCAGCATGGTAGTCCATAATTACTAAAAACTTAAACATGCTAAGCTGACTGCCTGTGGGGCTCTCGTACCAGATTTGATGTGTGATCTCTGACTAAAGTGGATGGACTAAGAATTGATGTGCCTCCAAGCCCAATGACATGGACAGATTTCTGTGCCCTCCAGCCATACTACCCACAATGCAATGCCCGTCGACGGGAGAAGCCATGCAGAGGACACATGAATTACATGCCTTCTCGAATGTCAGTGGGAATACAAATGCCTTTCATACAATTAATGATTACAGTCATGTGACATCAATTTTACAAACTGTAGAAATATGAAATGGGCTAGACTTACCACTCAAGCAGCGTGTTCAGCCTGGGTTGTGGTGCCTCTCTCACTGTCTCGTCACAGTGTCTTTGTGAATGAGGCTCCTTTGAAATGTTAAAGTGGATGTGTTAACAAACATTGTTAATGTGTTAGCCATCACTAACATTATCATCTAATGGACAGCTTAATTTAAAACTCATCACAGATATTATTAATTTCTTCGACTGGATGTAATGAAACATTTCTGGAGATAAGCATTTGAATGTGGCAGGTTTATGTTATGGATGAATTAAATAAGAAAGAGCATGCTTGGATGAATGTGTTGAACAGCATACAGTCCCAAAGTGAATGTCCTGTAACTAAAAAAACAACACACCCTTCATACAGTATATATATATATATATATATATATATATATATATATATATAGTATATGGGCCTTTACCTTAACATTCCCAGTGAAGAAGGCCATTAGTCTCTTCTTTCTCTTTGCCCACTCACTCCTCTTCAGTGGTCCCTTCTGAGCCGCTTGCTGAAAATACGTGTAAATACACATGCACACTTTCTTTGGATGCAGCTTTATGAAACAGTGCAGTGCACCATAATGGCAGAATTAAGCACAAGGAGCAACTGTAATGCAATCTGCAGGCAATCGATACTGAGCCAGGCCCTAAAGACATGTAGCGTTTGATGAGTATTTCTGCCGGTTTTACATTCAGTCAGCACATTCACACTCCCCATTCAAACGCATTGACACTGCTAAGTGACAGCGTCTCGCCCTGTAGAGGCTTTGTACAGCAGAATAGAGAAAGAAGAAAAACACTATTATTTTTAAAATAGATGTGAAATCTCTGGTGGATAATGTGCTTTCAATGGGAGGTGGGTGTGGAAACAGCAGGAGAGCGCATACATATTATGGCAGAATAAGATAACACTGATCCCAATACTGATACAGTACACAGTAGATGCCACTGATTATCCAGTAAGAGAGGATGAGTCAACTGTTGCTGTGGCTTCCAAGTGATACTGAGACATTGTTGAACCATTTTTTCCCAATTACGTTGACTTTCTATTCATATAATTTGATACTCCTACTCTCTTTTCAAGCGAGATTAAAACTAAAAATACAGTGGATAGAAGTTCTGCATTCTGTTTACATATGCATTAATGTTTGGGTTTCTTTACAATCTAGATTTGCCAACACAATGGAAACCCCATATTCTCCCATTTCCTTTCTGACTGATGGAATACAAACACTTGTTTTGAAAGAGTCTTCAGATCTTAATGCTAGTTCACAATATCCCTACTCCCCAGTTGGAAAATAAAATGTAGTCACGCTCTATTTTTCCTGAAAGGACTATAAGACGAGTAAAGAACCAAGCAAATTCAGCTACTGTCAGAAACAAATATGCATAATAATGCACAACAAAGTTCAAAGACAGAAAAAAAATGTCTCTACAAATAAATTAATTGTGTGAGGATATCATATGTAGCATAGATTATATCACTGAAATCCATGCAGTTATTCAGAGCTGAGGATGAATGAGTTATCTAACCTTGAATGCATGTTCTACAAAAAGCAATTTCACATGAGTGCATTCAGCTGAGATTCAAACCATCTGCACTGAAAATGAAATGCAGAACTTTTATAAAGGTAACAGTGGGGAAAAAAGGTTGGGGACAAAAAGTGGAGCAGAAAAGCAAATCTGCAAAGAAAGAGAAAGGAAATTAGTAAGCCGAGTATGTAAGACACACACATACGTATACACACGAGCATGTGAATAGACAAAACAGTTAAATGTACACACACACACACACACTCTATGTCCATTAGCCAAAGCCACTGATACACAACATAATGGACATGGCTGATGTGCTGGTGAATATGGGATGATGACACAGATATTCCTCTTTGTAGCCCTGACCTGCTGCAGTGAAAGGCTGCCAAGCGTGATCATGTCAGGCCGCACACGCTCCCTAAGCTGCTGGGTGTAGTGGGGGATCACCTCCTTAGCTCTCGCCACTGCAAGAAAATATACATTGACATCAATAGCCTTATAATATTTATCAAAAATCAAATATGACTGCAGAATTATGCATAATTCTTTGTGTGTGTCCCATCATGTCAATCCACCAATAAAATCGGTTGGCATAAAATACTGTCCAGAGACAAAAGATTTAACAAATTAGTCCTGGAATGATTCCTCGCTAGCTTTAATGATTCATTTTATATCAAGTATGTTCAAAGAAAACACATTTTACACAATCATACTATGACTGTGCTAGTGCTATATTATACTAACTTCAAATAAGAAATCAAGCACATAACAAATAAAAGCATAGCATTACTTTTTACAGTGCTCTCTCTGCCCATTACCATCCTCCCTGCTTCGAGTCCAGCCTCTCCTCCCAGCCCAGCACTAGCCCCAGCCTGGGTTTTGGCAATGGTATGGGCCTGGGAGGGCCTGGAGCCCGAGGCATCACCACCACCATGGAGCAGCAGTCGCCGCTGAAGCACCGGATCACCCGCCTTCACCTCCAACACCTCCTCATCCCTGGAGGCTAGCAGCGTACCTGGAGAGTTACGCATCAGTGGGCATGCACAGACACACACACACACACACACACACACACACACACACACACACACACAAGCATACACATACTGATGGATGTGCATACTTACCACATCCAGAAACAGACACACACTCACCGAGATGAGTTTGTATACACAGACATTTATACAAGTGGACAATGATGTACTCTAAGAGAGTAACTCACACAAATACAATGTGAGCATTCACAAAACCACAGTATCATTCACACCTATTCCTCACATCCTGATCTTGACATATTCATATTAAGGTGGAACCTTAGTTATACATGAACAGGAAGGACCAAATTAGCCTGCTTTGCTATTAAAAAAATAAATATATTTTGGCTAATATGCTTGCAGTCAAGAAAAGGAAATATCTCGTAACATTCATCCGAAATCCTTTTAAAATGAAATAATCAACAGGAGTTTTTTAAGTTAAGAACAGATGTAGAATAGGGAACATGAAGTTGAACTGAGCTGTTTCTATGCAAGGAATCAAAGGAAGATGTATCATCTGTTATCTTTAAGGTGTTTTAAGAGGATGTGGCTTTATGCTAATTTCGAGTTCTAATGTTTTCACTAACCAACCTCCACAACAAATTGTGAACAAGCCCATGTATTGAAAGAAAGTTTTCTTCTGCACGATACGTGAACTACTTTCTTGTTTCTGGTACTGAAAGCATAGCATCAGCATTTACAGTAGCTAACCTGCTTGCTGTGTGTCTTTTCAGTCTTGCTGCACCGCCTCATTGGTAGAAAGCATAAGGTATTCTGTGTATTCAACGTGTGCAGTCCAAAATGTGTAACAGCCAAAGCTGTTATCACTGCCTAATGCTTTTCACATTGAAGCTGATATCAATGCCTAACGCCTCACAGAGAACTAGAATGAATAGAATGCCAGTTCTGTCTTTCATCTGCAAGCCAAAGCAATAGAATTTATCGAGATAAAAAGGAGGAACTGAAGATCTTAGACAGACAGAAAGGATTTCTGCCGGATTTTTTTTTCTGAAAAAATGTCTACAGCACTGGCCACTGTCCATTTCATTAATACTTTGTCTTATTCATGCTCTTCCTCGTGAATGTGGCGCTTTGTGGCAGGCTGTAAAAGCAAAAACAAAAGCCTGAGAAGCAGTCACAAAATGTCAAGATCAGTACTGCAGCTGCAAAGAGGACTTGCGGCCTACACCGGTGGGAGGCATCCATACAACAGCAGGTGATTGTCTTAAAGTCTATTGTAGCTTGGTGAAGTGCTTACTGGCAGTTGCAGCATTGGACTCCAACAGTACAGAAGTAAGAGCTCTCTCTCTCTTCCTCCCTCTCTTTCCTTCCCTGTGTCTCAGCCTATTGCATGGAGGAACTGTTAATCCAAGATCCTCTTTACTTTTTCTGCAGGATTTCATGAACATTCCAAGACAATGGATGGGGCTGCTAATCTCGGTGGTACAGCTAAATCCAAGACAATGGCAAATAATACAAGCCGGCTAAATTCTACCGTGTTGAAGCGGGCCTAAACCCATCACTTGTGCTCTGGAATTACAAGGGAGATGTGCGTCATGTCAACAGGATCTGGTGCGACTGTCTTCACCCAGAACAATGCTAAGCTTAAACCACCTCAATGTTGCCTGGTTGGCTACATATTTAAATGAAACTGAGCTAATGAGAAAAGGCACGCCTACTATGAGACAATGGCTGTGCTTGGAAAGCACTGACTACTAGTGAGGGTCTGTTTCTAGTCTTATTCTTTGTTTTATGTTAGTGCTGCTTTCAGTGTAAGTGATAAATGTAGCATCGTCTTTTTGTCTGGGTTCTTTATGTTTTCACTGTCTTGAGCTTTTCCTTAAGATACTGTCCCTAAAGACAGCACTGCTCCAATCATTTACAATCACTGTTTCAAATGGTAACTTTGGTAATTTGGTTTCATGGTGATAAAATACAATTTTTTATCAATATATTACCGTGTAAATTAAAAGACACGAAACAGTGTGAAAACAGAATTAATACACTATTGTAACAACATCAACCAGTGACCAGATTTAGAAAAATGTTGCTTCAAACAAGATACATTATCACACATGATCTTGGCAGGAAAATACAATCAGGACATGTCAAGTGATTAGTCATCACAAGGGATTAAACTATTGAACAGGAAATGTAATTAATTGTAAAATAAAGCAATTGTTTTAAACTAAAGTTATAAAAAAAACATATCTTTGCTATTTGGATTAGGTCCAAACAACCAACTGCTTATAAATAACCAATATACAGGAGCATACTAATATGGGGATACATACCAGGTATATTTATGAAGCTATCGTCCTCATCCAGCAATGCAGCCATTCTTTGATACAGTCTGTTTTCATCAGCATTCAATATTGCTACAAGTCAAAACAATTATAAAATGAGTACACCCACATAGGTGCTGGAAAATTACATGCATACATGCATTTGTGTGCTCAAAATTACTTTCTACTTATCAGACAAGTCAATCTAAACCACATCTTAACATGCAAACCGAAGATATTAGCCGTGGCTGGAGAGGGGTGAAAATCAAGTGTATGCAGAGGGGTAATGAAATAGAAGCATTAACATGCCTGTTAGCCAGCCTGTCATCATGTGATGAGATTTGGTTTGGCGAATCCTTTGATATTACACGGCAGTGATATCCAAAAGATACAGGTGAAATGGCTTCTCCATTAATAGCCATGTTTCATTATAACATGCATATTACTTGGCTCCCAAGAGCTCGCTTTTAATAGGCCTACTTTAGGAGGGGGCTGCAAACTATTGATATGGCTCTGCGTGTGTCATTTGACAGGGGAAAGAAAAAGCCATGGTGAAATGAAAACTGACCAATGATACGCGACCTTCGTCAATGACAGCGAGTTGGGAAGCCAATCTAGTGATGCCATCACTTGGTGTATTTACATAGACTGTCCTGTCGTCACAAATGGCGGCCTGCTACCGGTGATCTCTCTCACCTCACTTTAATGAACCGGGGAGAACTATTATGACAGAGAATGGCATACTTAATTCCAGCTCATCTTCAGCGCTGACCCCAGCCATCCTGCAATGCCTTGGGTCTGTCTGCTCTGCCGACAACGGGTCAAAGTAATTTTGGGCACGTTTATTTCCTGTGGAAAGAGCCAAAGACGAGAGAATGAGAGAAAGAGGGGTTGGGAGTTGGTGGGGATGGGAAGAGGGGAGTTGTACAGGTTCAGGTTAGTGGTTATTAGAAGCACATGAAGCGAAATGTTAATTTTGAAACCCACACTGTCGAAGGGCAGGGGCAGCGGCTGCTACCAGATAAGGCAGAGCCAAGATGAGACAGGAGTACAGAGGCAGAAAGAGAGAAGTGGGAAAGAGACTGCTGGGTTTCTCAGTGCACCTCTCCACGGCCTGCGGTGCTCTGGGGCCTAATTAGCATGCCGCAAAAGGTCACGGCAGGCAATCTCTTAAATACGACTGCCATATGTTTGCCGTGTTCAAAAGGAACTAATGAGAAAGTCTACAAGCTCAAAAGTACCTGGAATTTCAAAGACAATACCTTCTAAATACTCCGAGGTCAGCGGCCTAGAGGACCGGGCAAGTTTGGAGGAGCAGATCCAAAGGAAAATAACCTGAGCCCATGTCTCATTGACTTCTTATTAGCAATCACTGACCTATGGGTATCAAGTCTGCTCCACAGACTTTATGGGAATCCAATGGCTCCGGGGTCTTTCTATTAAGGGTACACCCCACCAAGCAGCTTTCTTAACCCCAAATCATTCTCATTACAGGCCTTGAATATTTCCCTCCAATCTAAATTGCTTTACTTGTATTTCTCAGGTTGTGGGGCAAAAAAATGCGCGGTGCATTAAATCATGTTATATATTCCACACAAGGATTGCTTTTATAGAAGTCTGAGGGTATCGGCGCTTGGACGCATAAAAATGTGAGTAAGTGTGTTTGCATAGGAGCACCACTGGCTCACTAGGCCACAACCCAAAAAAGCTCAGTGGGATTCTTTCGGACTCCTATGAAATATCTCCACGAGGTTTTCACACTCTGTCCTTACTCTAAGTTAAACAGTCAGACTGAAATACTTATTAAACGAAGAGCAGCCGTATGACTCCTCAACGGTGCCATAAACTGACTGTGAAATTCTCATGTTAAATCCCTCTGCATCATTAACAGAGAGTTTGAACAATTTCTCTGCAAATAGCTCTGAGGTTATGAAACCCTTTTTTCAAACACACATTTGCATAATGGTAGCAGCTTCGTGGATCGCCTTTTGAATCATATCTGTGATTTACCTAAATAGTCTGGCTGTCCTCCAGTTCGTCTCTCTAATGAAAATTTCAATTCTCTGTTCTTACATGCACAATATCAATAACTAGCACTTCTTTCCAGCCAGAGTTCATGTTAACAGAGAATGAGAGATAATGAAAGATTTTGGTTAAGGCCAAATAGAAGTGTCACAAACATAGAACAATCTGCCTTTGTGATCTTCCAATAAAGGCACACAAGTCATTGAACTGTTATGCATATTCAAACTCACTAATGAAAAAGTGTTGGCTTATTTTGTTCTAGTGATTTATAGTTTGTTTCTATAAATCCTTTACTCAGTGAAATTACCACACAGAAATGAAATTATAAACCTATAAAACACATAGCATGTGATATCCCTTTGAGAATTGCATGTGTTTAGCGGTGTCCGTTCACACAGCCCTGTTTATAGCAAAACCTATTCATATATATTACATTTTTCTGAGTGCTAATATTATAAGCTAGAAGTTCATTTTGTATGCTTTAAGGGTATGGCAAGTGGGCTAATTTGTATTTCCAATGAATAAAACAAACAAGAAGAGATAAGATTTCCTAGTTTCTAATCATCAAAATGCCAATACATGTTTAAAAAATGTCTATCTTGGTATCTTGGTACACTAAGACGTAGTAAACAACTTTTTGAGAGCTAGGATTAGGGTTAGTTAGTCAGTATTTCTTCTTTACATTTGATTTTGTGACAGAACATAATGAATGGAGAGATTATTTAGATGTGTTAACCAATATGACATCATTATCTTTTACTTTAAATAAGCATATAGCAGTGAAAATAACAGTGTTGCACAAAAATTCAGTTTTTATTGTATTGTTGTATTGTTTTTATTTAAATTTCATGAACAAGTTTGAGTTTATTCTTTATTCTTGGTTTGATTTTCTGGTGGGTGGTAACAACTCTCTCCAATGCTAAAAACTTTTTTGCCATAATGTACTGGCTTTTTTTATAACGTTTTTTATGCAGAAATGTACTACGAAAAAGGTCACTTTTCTCATGTGTGAAGATGAAATTTGAGCAATAAAATTTCAAATAAATGACTGAAACTGAAAAAAAGGTCCCATTGTCCAATTCCAGCATTACTCTCAGTTTAATATGCCTCCCAAAACAGAGGGAACCTCATGCTATCAGTCTTGGGTCTCGGAAGTGATCAAGAGAGAAAAAGAGACTTTGACTGTTATATCTGCTCTTTAACCATACCTATACACTGGGCAACATGTTTTAATCGCTTTCACCACTAAAATAAATGGGATATACGGGTGAAAAACTAAACAAAACAGAAAGAAAGATGCTGACAGTTCAGTCAATGAAAATGTTTTACATTTAGCATTAGTCTCATGTATCATATATGTTTATGGTCTGACTTTCTAAGCTAATGAAATTTTTTTTTGCCCATATGCTGGCAAGTTCCACACACTGTGGTAAAGTGTAATCCTACCTCTTGTGCATACAACATCATGATAATAATTGCTAATAATTACTAGCCATGCACAGAAAAAGCAAAATGAACCACATTAAATCAAGAATCTAACATGTGACTCATCCCTGAGAAAACTGGCACGCTCACAACCTTGAACACATCCTAATTTACCATCCCATTCCTCAAGAGTTCTCCCTGACATACTGAATTATAAGGGGGCATATTCGTATGCCTGATTGGCCTTAAGCCGTGTTTCGGGGGCGTTGTGAGTACACCACACAGACAGCGGATCGGCTTGGTAGCGTAGTACCGTATGTAAATGCACTCTCCTATGACTCCAGCCCACCACAAGGCATGTAGCCGAGAGTGGGAGTCAAGGCTGATTGTGTCGAGGGTACTTCTAGATAGAGATAGAACACCCACTACTGTAGCGTTCTCCAGCGGAGGAAGAAGTTATACGAGGGTTGCTTGTTAGGACACGCTTGCTTTGGAATGCAGGGACCAAGGGCCCCCCGAATGGAGAGAGAGAGTGAAAGAAAGAGGGAGAGAGAGAAAGGTTAGATCAGGAACACATCTACTGTCAACAAATTTGAGGCTAATGAAGAATGAAGCTTCACCTCTTTCTTTGGCAGGGGCTTGCAGCTCCATTTTTTTTTGGTGAGCTGCAAGGGTGCTATCTGGCCTGTCACCTCGAATTTCTCTCCCCAGCCAAACCGGAGGAACGGAAAGCTCGGTGCTTCCTCCTCCATCGAAGGCTGGGTTTTCTATGCCTGCCAGAGCAGCTCTCTCCTCTCTCCCTGACAAAATAAGTAGAAACATAAATAAAAATACAAACACTGACATGAAGGGGCAATACAACAGTTAGGTCAAAGCTACTCATAAAAAAACAAAAGCATTTTTAATGACAACAATTTTTTTTCTATTGGTGATTTCTCTGCCCCAAAATGTTCAAGCGCATCCTCCTCGAATGACACTAAAACACAATTAGGTTAAAATTAAATCAGAATCTTGCAAAGGAGGAGAAAAAAAAGAGGAGAAGAAGAAATGATTAAAATAATTACAAATTGCGCCCTGACAAGCAAGAGCAAAATTTAGCCCAAAGCCATTTGTCTGTAATTAGTTAATTAATCCTTACACAAATTATGAGCAATAACTCATCAAGCAGGACTCACCCATCAGAAATTCAGCCGACTTGGATTTCTTCTGCTTAGGTTGCTGCAGAGCCTTCTGCTGTAACTTCTGGAGGGAAATTGTTAAATGAATAAATTAGCTGCAGAATGAAGATCATCATTTATGATCCGCAACTAACGCAGTATTTTAAATATGGGACGACACTAAAATGTCATTTAATTTACATCGCCGCTAAAGGGGTCAAGCACTAATTGAACAACAGGAGTGGAAAAGAATTTAATCATAAATAGATAAGAAAAGTTGACATGAATGTGTAATGAAGGTCACATTAAAATACTTCCTCCTTGTTTCTAAAATGAATGGGCATCAACACTCTCTCCTGGAAAATTATGCTTTTTTTACACAGGCTGCATGAGAGTACACAGACTTGGTGTGCAAATGAGAAAGGAAATCCAGGCACACTCCTCATTAATTCCATTGACATGAACTCAAACTAAAAAAATATTGAATGGAGAGAGAAAAATAGTCTTTAAATAACTAGGTGCCAGGTCCCTTGTATTTTGTAAAGCTTGGAGAATTTTCAGTATAGTAATTTCAATCAATCTATCTATCTATCTATCTATCTATCTATCTATCTATCTATCTATCTATCTATCTATCTATCTATCTATCTAAACATGTGCTCAGTGAACAGTATTTTGACTATAGTGTTGTAGGTGGTCTACATGGCATGGCATGGCATGGAAAGAAAAGGGAGGAATGTATGAAAGCAAGTATGGGTTCCTTTGAAATCAAGAGTATGTGGAACAAACTCTGCAGTCCCACATTTCTCTCATTTCTGCGGACGAGCGGAACAATAAGAAAGCTGAGGTAAAAGGCATAAGTAGTTGTTTTTGTTATGGATATGTTTACATAAGAATGCGCCATATAAAAGAGCTCTGTTGCTCAAAGCGTATGGAGCTTTTTAAGCATCATTTTATGCAGATTTCAATGATGAACTATGCTCATGCCCATGAACAGCATGTATTTGTATACAATATTTAATTTCAAAGGCAAAATCAAGGGGCACAATGAGTGGGGGGCTTATTTCAACTCTAAATGACAGAGCAATTAAAATAGAGAAGGACTACTTCCAGACCAATCTGGTAAGAGGAGTTTTTGTAAATCTGTTTTTACATTCAACAAGCCCTACAGCAAGACATTCATTTATACCACTGAGATTAATGCTTATCTAATTGTAACTTATTTAAAAACCATTTTCTTTTCGACTGGGTACCAATCAGTTTTTCTGAGTTTCACATACTGTGGAGTATGAGACTGGCAGATTTGGCATTAGTGGCGGTTGCCTCCCTGTGTTTCTTGTATTTTCTTATTTCCATTTCATCAAACACTTCACACACCTTTCTGCAAGACAAATATTGTTTGGGTGCATATGCAAATTGAGAAACTCCCTGAAACAATTAGGGGAAAATTAATCAGGTAATTTTGCTAATAAAAAAATGGCACACAATCACCATTTGCTTTGTATTACACCAGGCCAGTTTAACAATATTGTGTTGTAAAGTAAAGCAACCATTTAAATAAGCCACATGACATTAGCATTCATTATATGGTATTAAAATTTTGATCGTTATTGGAACCTCACAGCCAATTCTGAAAAGCTTAATGAATAAATTGAAAATAACTGTAAAGGGTCTACAGTAAATTCTGTTTTTACTTGATGCTGTAAGATCAGAGATTGTTGTTCAGTCATCTACTCAAACATACAGTTATTTTTGGACTTGACTATTTTCTTGCTAAAGTAATTAATCATCATATTAAAATAATGAAGGAGGATAACGCTCTTTATTTCGCAAATTATTGTTTTTGCCCTAAGGGCTAAAGGCACTTTGGAGAGATGAGCAAAAATCAAAGTCACATTAAGTTTTATCTTAGGCTATACAAATGTATTTTGTTTATCACCCTAATTACTGTACAGAATAATCTAGAATATCATCATAGATACTGCAATGTATCACCAGTCATAAAATTTAAGATTACTTGAGATTTTTCTATTTTTTTATAGTCCTTTATTAATTTCTTTGTGTAATTTGAATTTCAGTACTAGCTCACAGTTTGCTTCTGGTTTAATTTTTCTCACTATGCAAAGTAAATTAGCTCCATGTCCTGCAAATGTCAATAAGTCAACTGATTACTCTAAATGTATTCTTGCCTTGAGTTCAGTTACAGTGGGGGAAAAAAAAACCCAGTAAACATACAAGGGAAAGTACACAGAAGGAGTACAGTACATACACCCCAGGCCTAAAGCTTTGGGTCATTGTCACTAAAAATCTAATCCACACAGCGCCATGTGAGCCTTTCTGTCTAGAGAGCTAAGAAAAATGCCTGGTTCTCATCTCGCTCCCTAGACCCCACTGACATTGACAGCATGCTCCTTGTAATACAAGGACTGTTGTTTAATGTGCCATAACCGGATGGAACATGCAGATGTTGCATTTCTAAAATGATAAACAATTCAATCCTGAGGAAAACAAAGTATCATAGAGGTTTGTGACATAAATGGGATTTTTAGATGTAGGAATTGCAATGCTACTTCCATAAGAAGAGTGACAGCAGCCACGTAAACTGTCCCAGTGCAGGCTTAAATTGATTATTATTTGCCTTGTCACATTGCAAATAAATGTGTTAAATTTATGCCACTACACTAAAATTGCATGACAAGAGCTTGGGTATATCACAACATACAGTATATATGCAGTAGCACAACGCAATAGCCCCTGAGTTCATCTGAAGGCGTACATTCCCCCTTTAACCGTCACACTTTCCACATTTCACTCTGCAGCACACAAATTGCTTACATTGCAGTCAGTATAAGAAAAAAAATAATTTAGAACTGGTGACAAAAAAACATCCATGACTTTTTTTTCTTTCTTTCTTTCTTTAAATGTGATTGTTGTCAAAAGGAATTGAGCACAACAATGCCTTGTTCAGTTCTTGTTGCATTCAAAGGCATAGCTAGAAGGGCTTGGGGAAGACCGCTTGCTGCTAGGGGCTGGTGGGCACAGACCAGCTAGAAAGTGAATTTTGCATACTGTACGGATCATCGCCCAGTTCAGCCCAGTCACATTGAATCTGCCATCAACCAATTGTGCTTCATGAAACCGTCAACCCTCATTTACGTCTGCCTGTTTTCTTCCCCACGCAGCTGTAAACAAGGCCCCAGCTTTGAGCTGTCTTCCTCTGTCCCTGTGTGCGTTGCTTGCCAGGGGAGCATAGACAGCAAAACCTCACAGAGCTACTTAAAGCTACCATTTCCAGACAAGCACCCTGTGCGCTAAGGCATAGGAGTCAAGGACGACAAGAGTGTCTCTGGAAATGACAAGAGTTTTAAGAGCTTTACATAGAGATCCATGTACATGTTTTGTCTCTTCCTTGAGTTTTAATTTGTGCTTAAAAATCCATAATATTAGTTTTGTGCTTTCAGGCTATTCTGATATTTGACTCCTTAGTGTGGTAATGATAGGAATTTGAATGTGAAAGAATGTGAAAGTGAATAAAATCATCTTGTCTTTATATATATATATGTATATGTATATATATGTATGCATGTGTGTGTGTGTGTGTGTGTGTGTGTGTGTGTGTGTGTGTGTGTGTGTGTGTGTGTGTGTGTGTGTGTGTGTGTGTGTGTGTGTGTGTGTGTGTGTGTGTGTTAGTGTTTGAATATATGTCATAATGGGTTGTAACAAAATGATAAAAGATATAGTAAAGATAGACTGAAAGCCTTGCTAAAGTTTATTTTGTTTTCATGTTTATAAAGTCTCTTTTTATCTATCCACATAATACAAATGGCCATATCAATAAAATGTCATAAGTATAATGAAAACATCTACAAAGCATTTTTATTTAAATCACTAAAGATAAGGTTAGCATTTTGTTTCAAAGGCACACAAAGCCAATTCTACCCTTAAAATGTGAAACCATCTTAATTTATAGAGCAGCCTTATATGTGCACGGTAATTGTGACCCACCAAACAGTTTCTTATTAAACAACAACCGCGTCAGTTGGTGTAGACAGAAAACATAATTAGTATTCAAGCTTAATTAATCTACGCTGGCCCCCTTTAAGTGAATTAGTCAATTATTTATGCATGTGTGCTCCTTTGATGCTAACAGATTATGTATGTTACTGGAAAAACCTTGAAAAATGACTTTGAAAACTTTCCACCATAAAATGTCACTACAAGCTTTTGCACTGGCTTAGAAATGTCAGTGAAGACCATGAATAGTGAATTAATATTTTAAAGAATAAATCTTCCCAGACTAAACTGCCAAACTTCTTCATATTCTGATTATTGCCAAATCACCATGCCAGATATTTCAGTGCCAGTCTGGGAAACATTGTCATTCATTGTCCGAAATCCAGAGCAAAAGACTAAATATATGAGTCAAATATGTACTTCTTGTGTGCCCTAATCCGTGGAATGGAAATCTAACACAGGTCGGATCAAGGTCTTTCCTAGGATCATGGGAACTCCTTGGGATTTTCAAGAGCCTTTTTGTTTTTACCCTTGAGAACCAGGCACTGGCCTCTGGACCCCTCAATCCCCTACTGAGAACCCAGAGGCAGTGCAGAGGAATGCTAAATGTCAATGGTCAGACTGCACCAGCACCTTCAGAGCGAGAGAGATGGAGGTACAAGGCCTGACCTCCTTGTGTTCAGCTATGCTGCTATGAAGGGCCAGAAGTGAAACTGTACTCACGCTGCTAAAGGTGTCCATCTCCACAAACCGCAAAAGATCCTCACTGGCTGACCCTGATATCTGCACTATGGCGAGGCCTGCAAAACAGATTGTGTAAAAAATATGGTGAGAAATGTGTCAAGACAAATAAGATGAATTTAAAGTTGTACAGCTCCCAAGAATCTGAGCTAAAAGTGAGGGGAACCTGTTATTGACTTAAAATCAAAACTTTCAATTTACCTTATAATTCAAAGTTTGCTGTTGCTATTAGAGCTTTTTTAATGGCTTACTGTGTAGCACAAAATCCTCCACTCCATACAGGGGTTACACTATCTCCTGCTTGTGTGTTTAAAACTGTTATCCCTGCAATGCATCTCAGAGAATAAAGGACAATAAACACCATATATTAACACAGATAACAAATTATTTGCCCTGATTATTCAAATAGTTTATTCATTTACATCTGATACAATATCATTTGGTATTTTTATCGTCTTTTCCTATGGTAATTCACATGGCTTGCACAAGTTTCTGCTGAAATAGCAAAACAAACCCCAGGCAAAATGTGAAAGATTATCCCATACCATGCGAGCTAGGACGAAATGCTATACTTTTTCACACTGAACACTGCTCCACTGGGTGTGATTGAAAAACATGTAAAGCTATTGAATCTGTGGTTTGTATATGTGAGGGAAAATGAGTGTTGTAACAAGTGGGCCAGTGTTTTTGTAATTGTTTCAAATTACACTCTGCGTAATAACTCAGTGAAAGCAGAGCCAGTGTGCGGTCCATACACATTAACTAGGCAAAGACCACAGGATATCCATGCACCTTATCACAGCCCACAAAAAAACTTGATTGTGTAAACAACTGTGGAGACTAAAACTCTTTAGCTGTATTTCCAGCTGTGTCTATTTGTGTCGAATGACGCTTATCACCAGCTACACAAAAGAAGGATAATACTTTTAGATAAAGAGGTGCTTTGCAGCATTTCCTTTACATGTGTATTTTATTGAATTAAAGACACCCTAACATTCCTGTTTTTAATTTGCCTAACTGTCTCTATGTGTTACTAATAGAGCTGCGTGTGTGAATGTTTTATACAGGCTGTAAAACTGTGATGCTGTGAGAAAAATAAGTACATTAGTTGCTAAAACTGCACGCCTCCTGCCAAAACTGGCTTCTTAACCAATGACATCGCCAACACCATTGTTAACCACGTAAATGACTGACTCGCTTTTCTGCTTGAGGTTCAGGCTTTCTGTCAAAGGTCGTATGAATATATCACAGTACGAGCAACAAAGCCCTAAAATTGAGTATAATTCACATGCTGTACTATCAAACCAAAGAGATCCATGTGTGAGTTCACTGCTGTGTTGAATTATCTCATGCGCTTACTGAACAGTACACTTATGATAATATGCACTTCCAACACCTCATACAGCAAAATGATCTATACAGGGTTTCTGTGCAAATATTTTAGTTTTTGACAACCACAGCATTGTTTCCTAGTTTAATCACAGCAACATGGCAGTACGACAAAACTGCTGCCAACTGATTGCTGTATCTCAACTTTTAAAGATACCTCTCCATGATGTTTTCTAGACTTTGTTTCTGCACAAACTAGTGTTTTATGGCTTTCAAAATTATGCAAAAATAAATCGCACAATAGTCACACAGAAAACAAGTAGGCACATTGTTTCTCCTGAATGACATGATGCTATATTTGACCTGCAATCCTTTTTTCCATATCCCTCTTCTGCCCTGAGAATGACCATCTAATCTGTCATCTAGTCAGCTGAGCTCAATCAACCCTTAATCCAGAATGACAGTGGGGTCTGTGTTGCAAAAGACAAGGCACTTCCCCTTTTCTATGGCATAGTGCAACCTGAAATCTTCGCTTGACATTCTTTTTCCTTACCACGAACATGGATAAGGGATGTAATCCAATAGCCACAGAGGGACAGGGCACCACGCACCAAAGAAAATTTTATTTGCTTGTGGACAGAGGCCTTTTCTTAGTGTCTGACAAGAGCCAGTCTCCCTAAAGACATAGCGTCGACACAGCTGACAATAAGGGTAAAAAAAGGGCAGACTTGTTCTTCTTAGCTTGGCAATACAGACTTTTTGCATGCATATTTACTCCAAATGCACTCTTTGCACTTTAAAGAGCTCTTACAAAGGCATATATCAGCAGTGAAGTGCACAACAGGGGACTATATTTAAGTGAATTCATGCAAGTCTATTGTATTTTAAGTCTGGGAATAGTCAAAGTGCTATTCCTCAGTAAAGTTTCAATCAGGTATTGCCTTTCTAAGTACACGTTTCACCAAAGTATGTCATTTGATCCTACTGGATTATAAACAAAGTCTATTGCAAATAACTAGGACATTATATTAGTAACTATATTGTTTAGGATTAAGAGATATGTTACCTTGCAAGGCCCGAATTCTGCCTCTTCATGCCCAGCTGCACCTCAGTTGTCAAGGTGATGATGACGTGGTCCCCAACAACACAAGCATGTAGACATAGTCTCAGGTAACCTCCTCATGTTCACTTTCACTCACTGAGAGAAAAAGTACAGGAGAAAGTGAATTTAATTACACACCTCCCAAATGTATAAAATAAATTTGATCTCAGGTTTCTACTTGACTGTCTGTTAGATATACTGTATAAATGGAGTGAAGCAAAATGAAAAATAGTGCTTGTATAATAAAAGTAGGAACTGTGTGTTATTTAAATTCTGGGAAGGAGAGATATATGACTAAGTTTAATGCATGCCATTACCAAAACTGTAACCGTTGAGTTGTGCCAAGATAAAGTTTCATCTGTGTAACAGCCTCATCTACCAGATGGCACCACTGTTTGTGTTTTAAACGATGTTTCATTATTAATGGGGAGTGTGGCATGGCGCTCCTTCAAAGAGATGTTCACTTATTGTTTCAGCAGAACCAGAGATATCGCAGGCTGCTTTATCACCTTTTAGTGCCGGTTACAATGAACTCCCCCAAACTGAAGGTAAAGTACTCACAGTGCTTTGTAAACATCCATTATGTATTTGACAATTCACACAAAAGTTCCCCCATGCATTATTTAGAGGGAACTGCTGCAGACAAACGTATTTCTCAGCCAAAGACAACCCAGCAAGCTTTACAGCTGCTGTGAAGAATAGGTACAAAACGCCCGGCGGATTGGCCCGTTCACGTTTGGCATAAGGCATATTAACACTAATGTCCCCCTTAGAATAGATCATGAACTCCTAATGCTTCCCTTAGAACAAACAGTCAGACTGTGCTGTATTTATGACTGCAAAGCCATCAGGCCATTGGTGGCCTTTTCAACTGAGGATGAGAGATTGCTCATATGTGATAGCAATGAATAGTCTTGAATTTGTTTTGTAAATATGGAGTCAGTGTTTTGTTTTATATAAAGTTTATGATTGGTGCTGTGAACACTTGTTCAAGTGACCCATATTACAACCCCGCCTTGCTCTCTTCCTCCTTATCCCATAATGATGAAAACAATCAGAAGTTAACAAGGCACAATAATACATCATTAATGCACATTTTAATCAATAGAGTGCATGCATAGAGGATCTTTACAGCACCCATATTACAAACCACTAGGATCTTTTTTGCTCATTAAGCTGGTTAAATGTGATCTAAATAAGATGCCCACCGATTTGGACCTCCCATTACCTGGCTAAGCTGTCGTTGATCGTTTTTGCGATTAAATATAGACCTAAATCTCCATCTTATCCAATTAATTCTCTGTGCAGGCATGAGAGTGGCTAATGATGTTATCTTTCCTAATTAACCTGTATAGGGATTCAACTCCAGGACAGGGGATTGTTCATCCTTCATCCAAGTGTTCATTATTATCATTACAATCATTATCATAAAGGGGCTAACTTATGATGTTGGCCATTCCATCACCATTAATCTAGATTGAGTCCTCTTTTTTTGGGGGGGGGGATCCTTTGGGGTCATTTTTAATTATCACTAAAAGGATGGGAATTGTTGCAAAGCCGAATAAGTTCAGTTGTGGTCACAGCAATCACTGGAATCCCATAAGACCACATTACATGAATGTGATTTGACTACTTATGACTGAAGGGACATTTCTGATTTTGCTGTGTTTATGGTCCTGGACGCTGTGAAACTTTCCTCATAGTTTTCTGTCAGCTTTCCCATTGAATGTCGGCTTCAACCTATTAACACTGCAGACTTGGTGCAGATCAATAGCCCTCATTGGGCCATGTGTCATTAGTTAATCGGATATTGATGAGGGTATTGACACGCACCTAATTAATCTCAGGCCCAGTGCCGGCTTTCATATGTTTCCTTAATTATGCACTTAATCTTAGTCCTTATACAATCAGCAGGCTGCTGCTTCCTGTTTGACAGTGAGTAAAAGTTAGCTGTCAAGTCTCACTCTTGTATTATAAGTTTTTTTCCTTTTTTTCTCTTGCTTTGCTTTTTTTTTTAAACTGTTACATACTGCTGCAAACATGCACATTAAGCATGTTAAGTTTTAACTTTGGCACATGCACTTTTGGCTTTACAGTTACAACAAATATTATTTTTAAAAACATTTTCATTCAGTGATATTTTGGCAGATAACGGGTGCATATGGTGTAATTAGAAGATTCTGCACACCGGCACCGATACAGACAAATAAACATTTCAAATAAATACATGTGTACATGTAATTTATTGTTCCATTGTTGTTTTTATTATTATTTATTATACTATTAGTAGTATTATTTTTAGTCTTATTATAGATGTGAATGTTTACATGTAAGTAGAAACTCTAATGTCCATGTTTGGCCAAAAAGTCTCTATCTATCTTTCCTGCCACCCACTTTTGCTGTAAAGTGTATATGTATATATACAGTATGTGTAGGTATGTATGTAACCTTGTGTCCATGCATATGCTGTTGGATGTGAGCTCATATCTATGTGCTTTGTGGAGCTTCGTGTGTGTGTGTTGACGCATACAGGCTGATCAATAGAGCTGCGCATTAGCGTGCTGGTGTACAGATGAGAGAGCACCTGAAGGTGACCCTGACTACTGGCATCACCACAGGGCTCCAATAAGCTGCTACTCAACTGCTGCTCTGCAAACCACAAATCTCCAACTTTTAGCCTGCTGCTGTTGGTTTGATTATTGTTTATAGATACAGCCGAGAATTAAAGTATGGCCCGCAGGCAGCATAATTATTTACAGCTGAAAACTCATATCATTACCAGCATGCTCCTAATTGCCAGAAGTAATATCAATGTTAGTTGATTAAGTGTATTTTTTTCATCTTCACTCCCCATAATGTGCAGAGATTGTTTTCCCTCAGCATATGGGGTGACGGTTTATCTCAATACAGCTGTTCATCTGGCTTGATTTATTTTTTCTTTTTTTTTTCACTGTTCATTCCAAAATACAATATTGCAGTATCTTCAGAGGGTAGCGATCGATTGCTCCACTTTTTGTAGTTTGCTCACAAGGTCAAAGAAAACACAGGAGATTCATCCTTCATTGCTCGAAAATAATTTATCTCTGTAAAGATTTTCCCTAAATAGATACACATGTGACTTACCGAGGCAATAGCAGACTTTTTGACTCAAGGTGATGTCAGAGCTGAAGAGAAAGACCAGTGTGCTGTAAAGCTACCTTTAATTTACAATCAAATGATTAATTAAAACAAATGTTTATTTGGCCTGGACCTCCCTCCCTCTGCTATGAACATGTCAAAATATTTCATCCTGTATTTAAGGCAGCAAGAAAGATGAGGCTATTAATAACACCGCCTGTGAAGGGGAAAATACATAAACCTTGAAGGCTACTTTATTATTCACATGTAGATTACTCAAACATTAATGTGGCGCTGCAGCACTAGAAACCTATTTCTTGGACCTGAGCATAGAAATCTCAGACTTCATACTGTGAGTATATTTTAAATTTTAAAATTCAATTCCAGAAGGGCAAAGTTCAAATAGTTTTTACAGTTAAAAATCATCAATTTCATATATATTCTCTGTCAGAACACCTGCGTAACATACTTTTCAAGACAACATAGTGTTTTGCTATTTATACATCAATAAAAAATTCTGTTCACACATGCAACAAAGGGATACACCGTGTATGTATGTATGTCAGTTAAGGGTGCTTCGATTGATCGGTCACCGACTGTAATCGGCCGATATTCGCTCTAATTAGTTTGATCGTCGATCTCTATGAATGCCAATCAAAAGAGCCGATCAGCTCTTATGATTTTTATTCCACTGTAAGGTTATTTAGTCTTTTACACATATAGATTCACTTTGGCAGGTCACCTGGTATGTTAACAGACTCCTTTTTTTTTCAGAGAGAGCGAGTAGTTATCTGGTGGATGTGCAACGTCATTTATGAGCCTGATTGGCCAGTGATCAGTGATCGGCAGAGCACCCTTGATTTTAATATGGTACACTGAAACATTAGTGTGGTTCTGTCAGAAAACAACTGCATCTACTTGTCAAGCATTGTTGTTTCTACATTCTGGTTTCAAATCTGGAGTCAGTGTGTCATTAAGTTAGACTTTATGGTTCCCAATTTCTAAAGTTATTTCTATACTTGCTCTGCTTCCTCTTTGACCACAGAGTTCATGCAGCTTCGTAAGAGTGGGAGTGAGTGACATTTTGAAAAAAAAAGGCTTGCATGTGAAGCCTCATCTTTGCTTCAGTCAAACTTGCTGTGGAATGATACAGCAAGTAAAATGCAGGGGAGAAGTCAAATTTTCCATCATTTCCTTTGAATGCATCATATCTTGTAAGGAAAAAAAAAACTGACGTGGCCCCAAAAGATTGTGTCTATAAGGCAGTTACAAATCACAGGAATCCATCTCATGCTTGCAGAGTTAAAATTGTGCAGAGGAGTGGAATCATTGTTAAAAGGGCAATGCAAATAGTGATTAAAAGTGGGCCTAGGGTCCTCATTAGGGCATGATCTCAGAGAAATTGAGAGCAAGATGGGAGTGTTTGAGAAACATCTTGCTGACCAACAAGGGGCATCTTGCATACTACTGACTCCTCTATGACAAAGATTTATTATGCGCCATGTGAATCTCCCCCTTTGATGAGCACGCTGACTGCGAGTTAATGCATAAAACGCTTGAGGAAATCAGACAATTGTCAGAATGAAACTTGCTATAAATACATTTTCTTTCTTTCTTTCTTTGTCATTCACTCTGAGATGAAGTGATGTCATTGCACAGTGAAGGTCTTGTGATCCCTTTTAAAGATCAAGACGCCACAGGCAGTGGTGTATCAGTGGCTCAAAGGGTTGGTATGTATAGGATATTCTATGCAATACAGAGATGCTAAGATACAAGAATGGACAGATGACTTTGAGTTTATCTATTGCAGGAACCACATTTTGATGACTCATATTATACATGAAAGAAACATTTTCAACTGCGTGAGACTGATGCTTTGTTGATCTCATCAATTGATTTTTATTCATGTAATTCTTAAATTCAT